GGGGACTGATTTCATGGAAGACAATTTTTCCATGGACGGCTGGGGCGGAGGAGGGAGAGCTCAGGCGGTGATGCGAGTGATGGGGAGCTCACTTGCCCGCTGCTCACCTCCTGCTGTGCGAGGGGAAGGCAGCCCTTTCCTAAGTTTCACAGAAGACAATTCATGGACAGGGTTGGGAGCGGCAAAGCTCTGCGGCCCAGTCCCTAACAGGCAGTCTGCAGCCTGGGGGTTGGGGACCACAGCTGTAGGACATAACTCAGACCCTGATTCTACTCACAAACAATTTAAAGTTAGGTAAGAATGAACACGAGAATATAGTGTTCATTCATTCATTTATTCATTCAAATTCTCATTGAATATCTACCATGTGTCAAGAATTATAGTATTTTTGTCCCTTGTAACTAAACCTTGTCACTGCCCATAAGAAAGTCCCAGCCTTGAGATTGGACCTCTAAGTACTTAAGCAATTGTCACATAAATACAAAATGTCCCAAAGGAGCTGGAGGAATCTGGGATGGTTTAGAAAAAATCTGGATTATGGATAGGAATTAGACATGTAAAATCAAGGGGCAGGCTATTCAGGTTAAGAAATCAGCATGGGCAAAGGAAAAGAGGTGAGTGATTACAGAATTATTTCTATACTCTAGCTGTGACACTGGCTTGTGGAGTTTTTTCTAATACTAGAGTAACTTATAGATGTCTTCCCTAAGAGTTTTATATTTTTAGGCCTTATGTTTAGGTCTTTGACACAGATGTCTTTTAAAGAAATAAAACTCTCAGAGAACCTACAAGCACACTCCCCAGACCCAGCCAGGGACAGCAGATTCCACAGGGAGGGAAGAAACGAGCTTAGTCAGGTGCAGTCCACGGTCTGGGGAGTGTGGACAGCCTTGAATGCCAGGCTAAGAGGACTTTAGAGTGGGCAATGGGAAAATACCAGAAAGGTTAAGGGTAGGAGGATGATATTTATTCGGGGTATTCTGGAAAGACCTGTTGGGAGTCCACTATAACATCAGTCAAGAGGTAAAGAGCTGAAGGAATAGTGGAGATTAGGATGAACAGATGAGACTAGAGGAGAGGTCTCTGGAGTATGGAGTATGGAGTGTGGTGTAATGAGTAGGAGGGTCGCTTCTTTTTACTTTTAGAATAGAGAAATTTGAGCAAAGAGGGGCAGAGGAGGCAAGTCGAGGTGCTCAAAGCCAGACAGCCTGGTCTGTGCCGTGCAGTATGGTGACCACTAGGCACAGGTGCAGGCGGAAGTGAGCGTGCAGGGCTTAGAAAGGGGAGAGTGTATGGATCGCTACCAAGGGGGTGTGGAATGGGCAGAAATCCCCAAGGTGCCAGTGAATAGGGTGGAAGTCTTCTAATTTTATACCCAAGATAATACATTTTTTTTTCTTAAAAACAAAACCCAGGGTTCATTGCGGAATCTTGCTCTCCTTAGTGTTCAAGCTCATTGGCAGAGGTCAGGTGATAATATAGGCTCTTGGGAGATGTGCATGTGTGAGGGGAAGGTAGCAGAAACAACAAAATTGGGGAAGGGTACAAAAAATAGTACAGATTCTTGCAATTTTCTGAATTTGAAGAGAGCTTTCCTTAACAGTCACACCAGTACAAATCATTCTCAATGTAAATGCAGTCGGGGACAAACATGTTTCATCACATCAATATCAAAACGGTGACCACCGGTTTATATATTAACCTCCCTTCCATATTATTTGCCTTACCTTCTCTATAACCATGTGGGAAGCAGCGTAGCAGAGTGGGAAGAAAAGGGGTTCTGGCCACAAAGAATCTTGGGCTCAAATCCTAGCTGTCACTAACCAGCCGTGACACCAGAGCAAGTCACTTCACTGCTCTGAGCCTGCTTCCTCGCTGGCGAAGCAGGGATGACATGACGGAGTTGTGGCTGAAGGTCAAGTGCGTTCGGAGAGGCCACGAGACACAGTGAAGGGCTCAGAGAGGGCAGCGCTGGCTCTCTCTTTCCTCCCCACTGGCACAGCGCTGTGTGTGATCTGCCCAGAGGCACTTCCTGGCTATCAAAGAGCCGCCACTTGGAACAGCTTGGGAGGAGGGACGCAAGTGTTCTTCTTGGCCCTGCCCCAAGACCTACGCACCATCATTTTTCACCAAAACCAACAAGCAATTTTATTCATGAATTTATGTTCCAAGTAATGTCCTCTTAATTTGTGTTAAGCTCCCTTAAAATTAGATTATACTACTACTCAATTCCCAACTCCGTTCAAGTAAGTTCTAGGCCTTACGACACAGGCTGAGCATAAAAGCAGAATGGGAAAACAGTTCCTATTTTCAAGATTCAGCCACTGAAGCCATTTTGACAGCAGTCTCTCTGATTTACATACTGATTTGTTTTACACGAAGCCAGCCTGTACTGCATTCTGGTTTATTTTCTGGAGCATAATTAGTAATGATGATGATTAGTTAGGTAAAGAGGTGGAAAATTTACGAGGCTATGGACCGAAGCTAATGATGAATCATTCTTTTCCCCTTTCATCAGAAAGTCTAAAGACATGCGTCAACAACAGAAGAAAGGGAATGGAAACAAAGTCCACATAAGCCAGAAAAGGAATTCAGAGCTCTCTGTCAAACGTGTTATACACAAACTCATACTGGTGACTGCTTTAGGAACCTGAGTTTGGCATTGCTTTCCCTACGGGAAGAGCAAGATGTGATACTCAAGTAAAATACTCATTAAGTTTTAAAAGGTAAGGGTACTTTGGT